AACCTCAAAAACGTATTATTCCATGGTCCCATGGTACAATTACTGTCTCAATTCGTTCAATCGGCTTGCACGGTAGAGTCCTCTGACGACAATCAGGATATTGTAAGGAACCAAGACGGCTGGGAGTTTCAGATTGGCCAAGCTACTACCGTCATTGAAACCTTTACCTTTCCAATGTAAAAATTAAGTCGTATCCTCAGTCAAATAAAACCAGATAAGTCTCCTGGACCCGATGGGATTGCAGGACTGATATTTAAGGAACTAACGACGGATCTGGCAAAGCCTCTTTGGAATCTCTTGGAGCTGTCAGTGAGAACAGGGAGGCAGCCCTTCCAGAGAAAACAGCCAGCATCCTTCTTTTGATTACGAGAGGTAGCAGGATTACAGCAAGCAGCTTTAGGCGCATTAGCTTGACTTGTATCTCAAGTAAAACGATGGGAATTTTAGTAACGAGTGCTATACCTCAATTATGTGCAGAAAATAACATCTTACAGGATTTTTAACACGACTCCCAGACAGAACGCTCGTGCCTCTCAACTTCGTTAACTTGTCTGGAGGACTTAACCAAGGCCTTAGACGAGGGTTTTGAGGTAGATGTCGTGTCCATCTGTCTCCTCAAAGCACCTGACACTGTCCCGTACCAGCGCCTTCTTCATGCACTGGACGTCCTCGGCATCCGCAAAGATCATTTCAACTGGATATGTGCGTTCCTGGTTAATGGAAAGCAGCGTTCCTGTATCGAAGATGATATGTCAGGCTGCGTGAGCGTGGCCAGTGGTGTGCCTCAAGGATCAGTTCTCAAACCACTAATTTTCATCCCCTATGTGTGTGACAGCCCTCAAGAACTCGACTGCGACAAAATAGTGTTTGCCGACTACGTTAAACTCTGGCAAGCCGTTAATGGCCCGAATGACTAGAAAGCCCTTCAAGATAGTCTGCACTGACCGAAAATGCGGTCCGTGAAACGGCGAAGGGACTTCGATGTGCAGAATTGTGTCGATCACCATCTGCGTAGAACCAACTGCCATTCAAATTATAGCATGGGGGCATATTACCTGAGAGGCATTACTCTTCCCGCGAAATCTTACCAGAAAGACTACGATGTTTGGATACAGAGCAAAATGAAATCGACAATGGAGTGCACCAATGCTGCAAAAAACGCCATGTGAGTACTTCATGCGATTAAAAGGCCGTTTGTGACCTTTGACAAGAACCTTTTTAAGGAGAGTTTACGGCAAATTTGTTCGATCTTATCTAGCATATGGCACAGAGCATGGCAACTATGACTAGCAAAGGACCAAATATGCCCCGAAAAAGTACAACGCAGTGCAATGAAGTTGGTTAAAGGATCAACCTGATCTTGCATAGAAAGACTGAATCACCCTAGCATATTTTCTCTGTGTTACAGGCAGCAAATGTGTGACTTTTCCTGGTTTATTTGATAACACATGACCTTGAGAACAAGCTAAGCTTTGAGGACATGTTTTGGTGGCTCCTTTTGCCTAATATTCGTTGATACTCGAGGAAGCTTCGCACTAAAGTGTTCAGGCTAGTTCTTCGAACAAAATTTTGAACAAAAAGGCAGGCTAGAGATCGATTGATTTCCCTAAATCATCCATGGAGGCGGCGTCCTTTCAGCTCTTCAAAAAATGCTTGCACAAGTATTTGTGTCCCCTTTTTCCCTCGATAGTCTAAACCTGATCTGAACGCCAATGAACTCCAGAGTTTGAACTTTTTAAATACAGGGCTACTTAAATCATGTATGTACCCTTTCAATAGCTATAATTTTCGTTATTCGCGCTCATTCGTATATAACGTACTGAAAAAAAACATGGTGGGTTCATTCGCCTGAAGGCATCCAGACGTTGAGGGTTAAGGATATAATAAATGCGAAACAAGAAGCAACAGCCGACTACGGGTCTTCTAACCCATTGAAATGTTGTGCTTGCCACCTGACAATTCGCAGTCCAAGCAATACTGAATTTAGCATAAGAGAAGGGTTATCGAGCGAGAACTACAAAAATTTTATATTTTACTACGGTGACACGTATTTACTGAACACAAGAAAGGACAGCAGCGTTCGAGGGTGCGGGGACAAGAGTGTGGTAAAGTCTCAGCTTTATTTCAGGAAGGAGAACGTTGACCCAGATGGAATCACATATCTGTACATCCTCCGCGGAAATTCAATCTGAATGATTTGAAAAAGTGGCTTATTCGCGTAACTTAGGTCAGTTTAAAGGAATGGCTGCACCTTTACTAGATAAAAGGTCACGCTAGACAAACGATCTGAGAAAGCTGTTGATTAAGTGGTTGTTTACGAGGTCGAATCCATGTGGCTCGAACTTTCCCTGTCATTTTCGAAAAGACAGGTGGAATAGAATAGTGCATTGGTATGTGTTTGCTTTAGAAAAGGGGCTGTCTGGAATCAACGGACATCAAATTAAGCTCACTAGAGGAGTTCGGATATAGAATGTGATTATCTCATGTTGTTCAGCGGATTGACTTACACCAATTGGAAAGCCTAATAATACCTTGGAAAGGCTGAAATCTAGGCGGGCAGAAGTTCGGAAGTGAACTTATTTCAAAAGAGATAAGAGTTCCAGCGATTATTTCAAGTTTCATTGTTGTGCATCATCGCTGGATGATGGGCAAGAAAGATGTACATGCAATAAAGAACAACTTTTCCTCCTGGTGAGCGAATAATAGATGCAAAGCAGAAATGATCGGAGAATGATGGACATTATCTTCGCACGGAACGTTTTTCAGGGAGGAAATAACATAAAAATGTAACCACTACGCCTACTTATGCGACCTTCATGGTAAAAACAGAATCACTTATAGAAGGGGATCCGCTTCTATACGCATATAACACCTATCAATGGAGACTTTTGGGCTAAGGTGAGACATCTGGGGTTCTGGTGATTGTTCCGTTTGCACAGACGACGTTGACGGGGACGAGGGATTATCGATGGCGGCGTAATACCCCCTCTTCGCTCGCTTCTTCATCTTGTGCATGGTGCTTTGATAAATTCCCCAGTACTTGCGTTCCATATTAGCTTAGAATTGACATATAAATACCATTAACACATATTATACCGACATACACTACAATCAGTCAGTCAGATTATGTGCCATTCTCATAAATATCTAAAAGTCCGATTCTAGAGACTCTAGCAAAAGGTTCACTTATTTAAATGACACATTTCATCGCATAGAAGCATGGAACAAGTAAATGAATAACGTACTGCAGTCTAAACGCGCAGCTCAATTTCAAAGATAAGTGAAGCTCTGCATTTATCTGGATATTCTTAAGTAATTAATGCCTGTTTTTTACTTGAGTCCGTTTTAAAAGTCGCCTTTCTATATAAGGTAAAATTTTTTCCCAGTTTGTTTGACAGTCTGGCAAAATAGTCGTATTTTGTAAAAAATCCATTGTAGTGAATCCTTTCCCTACTACCGCTTTCTAGTTTTCGTAGTAAAAAAAAACAGTAATACTTGCTACTCAGTGCGCGTTTCCGTTTTGATCCTTCTTCTGTAACGAAAAACTTTTTTTTGTCTGTAATGCCCCGCAGAGCACGTGCTAAAAGGCGAAAGCTTGCGGCCTCCCCACCGTCTCTGGGTGCTAAAATCGTGACTGAAGACATGGCAGACGCCAGCGTATGTTCTTCGCCGTCCGCAGATCTGATTAGCTCACAAATCCCTTTAGTACATGTAGAACCTCTCGACCCTTCAGTCGTCCAAAAATACGCCTCTGCTAGTCGTAGCAGGCCATCAGCCGGCGAAATAATCGATCAGCTGATTTATGGAGACATAAAC